CATGTGGAATGCATCACCCTGGAGGGGAGTGAAGAGTGGCAGTGAAAGCATTCCCCGGGCTGCCCTCCTAAGACAGCCGGTTGAACGGGGGCGCAACTGGTTTCCTTTTCCTCAGGTGAGGGGGGCTCAGCTTTGCAATGTTCTGGAAATGCCGCTGTGGGGGACGGCGCAGAAGTGCTGAGTGCAGGGGACTCGTATTGCACAGCACCGCTGCAGAGCACTGGCTGCGGGGGAATCCCATGGCGGCTGCAGTGGTGCAGGAACAGTTGTTATAGTTGGGGGTGCTGAAGGCAGAAACCATGTCTTTGGGGTGTTGTTATTCCTTCAAGCAGCGGGGTGCGGCAGCACCCCTAATTCCAGCACCTCTGAGCTGTTGTAATGTCCGTTTCTCTCAGCTGGAAGCATGGTGAGGAATTGCCTATTTAACATACATCTCCACATGAATTAACTTCAGCCAAAGACAGCATTTCAGGTAGGACTGCCTCCCTGTCCCCCCAAAATAGGTACGCCTCTGTCTATAAGGTGATTAGGTTGTCATGTATAACAGCTGCATACTGCAGGGTTTTTTAAGTGACTGCATAAATGTACTCCTGTATCTAAGCTTACAGCATAAGCCCCTAGCTTTTGTGGTTGCAACAATAACCGTAAAAATGTGAACAGAAGGTAACTGGATGCAGTGACACTAATAATAATACCTGGCTCTTATAAAGCACTTGTCATCAGTAGATCTCAAAGTCCTTTACAAAGGAGGTCGGTTTCATTATCCCTGTTTTGCAGATGGGGAAACTGAGGCAACAATAGGTAGGTACCCAGCAGTGGAGTTGGGACTAAAACCCAGCTGTCCTCAGTCCCAGGCCAGTGTTCCATCCACTAGGCCACACTGCTTCCCCCTGTTAGAGTATACTGCCTGATATCTGCCTGAGTCTGCAGCCAGCCTGAAACAATAGCTCTGCGAGGAGTGTGAACTGTTTCCATTCACTTCAGCGTGATGTTAACTCTAAAGCCTAGCAACATTTAATATCAACATTAAATATTTCACCAGTGATCTTTCAAGCACAGCTATCTAGCCCCCCTGCTTATCCGTCATTGCTGCTGTAGCACTGGCAGATATGGGGGTGGGTCACTGAGGCAGCTGGTTGCTATCAAGGGTAGTTGGGGTAAGAAATGAGGAATTCAAACATCCACCACCACCAGCACAACCCACAGATTTATGCCTCCACCACCCCTGCCCAAAAGGGAGAAAGCAAAGAGATGCCTCTTCTTTCAAGCACCAACTGGCCTCCTATGCCAGATACTCCCTGTGCCAAGATGGGGGTTGGAGGAGTCTTTCTGTGCTTACTGCATGTTCCCAATGCCGGTTGTAGGGAAACCTCAGATAAACCAGAAGGATCATCCCAACCAGCTGGGTTGTAACTTGTGCCATCTGGGAGTCAGGCTGCTGTTTTGTGCAAGCCCCTGGGTTCCCTGTGCCAGAGGATGGATCATATTGTGCTACATGGTGGGATTTTACTGGGGCTAGGTTTCCCCTGCTGGATGGGTTCTTCTACCCCTGCTTACTGGAAGGTTTCCCTGTTTCAGATGTGTTTCCTATACTAGATAACTGGATTAGTCATGCCAGGTGTTGGGTTTCCCAGGCCAGTGATGTTTAACTGGGCCACTGTGAGGGATTTCCTTATGTCTTCTGGTGACCTCCTTGAACCACTTGGGAGAATTTGCCATACCAGCTGCAGGGTTCCTCCTTTCCAGGTGGATGATCTTTCCATGCCAGGGGAAGGGTTTTCCATGTCAGCTGAGGGATGCCTTGTGCAATCTTGCTGTTTCCCCTAGTCCTTTCAATTGCTGGGATTGCTAGTGGCTGGCTGCAGTGCATTGCCCTCCTTTGATGGTGCAAATGCATAAGAAACACGTGCTATATTTCCCCAGTGGTAGCCTGGGATGTTCCATGATTGATTTGGCAGGAATTCACAGGCTGTGGTTAGAATGTCCTAACTGTACGGTGTCTTTTTCCTTGCATGCACGCTGGGCCTCAAGGCTGATGTTGTTTAATGTATTTGTTTTGATTCCAGCATGTAAAGAGAGCTTCTATCCCAGGCTCTGGTGCCCTGGACAGATTGTTAAAAACAGTCCAACAGAAAGACAAACCAACAACCTTTTTGATGCTAAAGAAGGCAAGCTACAAACCTGAGATGTGCTACCACAAAACCCTAACCCCCTCAGCTAAAAATCCCTCCCACACCCTCAACCAAACCTCCCCCACTCTGCAAATTTCAGGCCTCCCCAAATAGGCTTTGCAGGATGCCCTAAAGACCCACAAGTTCAGGCTATTTTAGACCAGTTGGGGAGCTCAATGCCACTTGCGGAGAGAACCCTGCTACCAGCTCATTCCTTTCTCACCACAAGAGGTTCAGCTCAAGCACCCACCCCTCTGAGCTCCTGTTGCATGGCATGGAGGAGATCTCAGGGAGGAGATCCCAGACCATTTAAGGCTTTATAGGTCAAAATCATAAAGCCTATACTCAACCTTGAGCCTGACTCAACCAAGAAGCAGCCAGGGCAGATTCCAGAGCACTGCGGTCATATAACACTTAAGAAGCAGGTCTTTTGCTCCAGCTGTGGTTTCCAAGTTGATTTAAGATGCGGCCCCTTGTAGAGCACATGGTAAGAAAGACTCCAAGAGGCAGGAGGGAGTCAGAGAAAAGCAATACAGAGTACCAGGTGCCTGGCGGGAGAGACATGAGCAAGTATGAAAACAGCTATGTTGTAATGGGTGGGATTTACCAGAGCAATTGGCATTGTTATAAATTTTTTAGATTAGACACTCTGATGCCTTGTGACACATGAGTCATCCCAGTGT